GAAATAACGTTTATTTCGATATAAGAAATAAATGTCAACATTTGTAAAAATAATTTTTCTTATATAATTTTAAATATTAAAAATAAATGAGATCGTACGTATTATTATTTTTTTTTTTTTGACGACGCTTAATATTGTGATGTTTATACAAATATAAATATATCTCAGACATTTGTATAATAATTTTTTATAATAATTTTTTTTTCTAACTATAATTTTCTATGACTGTATAATAATAAACATAATTTATTTATGATTATATAAACATAATAGTGTTCCATACGAGATCGTACGAATAATTAGACATTGTAGTCATTAGTATTATTTACAATAAATTATTATTTTTTTTTTTTGACGACGACGACGTTTAATATTGTGATGTTTATACAAATTATATCTCAGACATTTGTATAAATTTTCTTTCCAACTATAATTTTCTATTGATTGTATAATAGTAAACATATAATTTATTTATGATTGTATAAACCGAGCGACCGAGGTGTAAACGTAATAAATCGTATAGGTAACCATAATAAACGTATTATATTCCAACAAGTTTCAGTTTCGTGGTGTAAAACAACGCCGATCAGGGGCAGACTGGGTAGGCGACAGGCCAGTCAGCAATTTTAATACTTCGGGTCATTTTTTACGGAAAATTAATAAACATAATAAAGTAAATTTTTTTTATCGAATTGCAATTCAATTATGATGTTTGCTTATCAGTTATCACTCACAGTAATTGTTGATTATTTATTAGTTATTACGCCTTACATAAATATGATAATATTAAAAGACTGGCTACAAATGTAATTTTACTGTACCCACGGCCTAGCCCACGCCCCACGAACAGACTACAAACTATATCTGCTATGTAGACAGGAAAACAAGATTTACAAGAACCACCATCATATTCCGCTGAAAATCACATTTTTAATACAATGATAATATCCCATTGAATTCAAATTGAACACAATATACAATATTAAGCAGTGTTTAGAACTTTGGAAGGTTCAATAAAACAGTGAACGCGTTCATGGTTAGTTCACGTAAAATGAAACGCGTTCTTTCAAACGCTGCATAATAATATTTCTAGTGACCCACTTGACATTTTATATACAGTAGAACGTTACCGGCCACCTGCGAATAGCCCGCATTTTCAGTGGCGTATTTATGGGGGTTGGTCCATGGGGTCCGGACCCCCCCCCCTTGACTCATGTCTCGTACATATTAAATGTTGTGTTTTTACATGATTAAGAAAAACAAATTTTATCATACGATACGAAGGATTTTATAAAAAATTTTCGAAGCTATGGTTATCAACATTTTCAATAAATATCGTGATTATTTTTATCAGTTTGGTTTTGGTACCGAAAATGGTTGAAAAATACCAAGTTCATTTTTTAATTCAAATATTTTGTAGTTTTGTACATCGCCAGTATCTACAACCACTCCAGAGAGATCTTTTTCAACCTCTTTAAGGTTGAAAAGCTATCTAAGATCAACTATGAATGAAGTAGGTACCTAATGTATTTTAGGAAATATTTGTATAAAAGTTATAACACTTATAACATAACTATGTATTAGATTCTGAGAGGAGTGAGGGATCTATTGGTTTTACAATGGTGTTTATTTTTTTTTTTCATGTATACAAAATTTCTACCAGAAGGAGTGCTTCGATTTCAACATATTATATAGACATCTAGTATCTTATCTTTTAGAAAATTGGATCAAGATGGTACTTTAGAGAAGTCATTTTTCGATTTTCTCATTAGTTATTTAATGCCGAAAAATTACGAAAAACCGTTAAAAATGGGATTTTATTTTCTAACGCTTTGTCTATCACCATAGAAACGAATAAAAAAAAAAAAAAATATTTCATTATTAATTCAACTTACAGGCTTTAATAAACAATAACAATATAAAATATCCAGACTGACAAACTGTCTCCGCTCAGAATCGTTTTTCTTATACAATGATATTATGATATTATATCATTGAGTTCAAGTTTAATACAATCTATTATACATTGACCCACTTGTAACCTACTGTACAGCAGCAGAGCGACACATCCACTTACCCGTTTTTTTTGCCGGGCCCCATGCATGACCGTAATACGTTTATTAAAATATATTATGTCGTATGAATTCAATAATTATTTAGAGAAATTAATTTTATTTCTGTTTTTTTGTATAATATGTTATGACTCGGTACGAATTAGTTATGAATATTATGATTAATGTTTAGACTTAGACTATACCTACATACTAATATGAAGAAAAAACGATGTCGTCCTCGTCCAGTTACCTATCTAGCTATTAAAGATAAACCTATGTTTACTAGGTTTCACTACGTGACAACAATTGTGTCGTATATAGGTACCTTTTAAAACAACCAATGACATTGCCAAACTATAACGATAATATTCAAATCAACTACTTTAATACCGTCTACAAGTTATTAAAATGAAATATTTCTTACCTGATAGTTCATAATTCATAAATGATGTTTTTGTTCTGCCTATTGGATGGAAAATAAACGCCGTTCAAAACTATTGCCTCATTTTTAATTTGAATTATATAACATTTCATATTTGTATTTAAAATAAAAATAAACAATGGATAATGGGTATACGTATAATATACATGATATAATATTATTATGTTCTTCCGTCATCAAATATATGTATAATAATATGTGCTGCGGCTGCGCAACGCTCGCATAGCCATAACCCTTGAGCCCGTATAGTGATTTAATCGGAACGATACGAAAATTGAATAAGCCGATGACAAAAATAAATTAATGTGAATTAATTTTCAGCAGAAGCATTGTGTATTATCGAGTGTTTAGAATTCCGTCATAATATTATTATTATTATTATAGATACATTTTTGTTTGATTTTATATTTTATTTTTATAAATAAATAATAATGCAGGGCAAAATTATATATTACGGCCGACAGGCCAGTCCGCGATCGCTGACCAGCGGACCGGGCCAGTCCGCCCCTGACGCCGATACTTACCGACAATCTCTTATTATTTAGAATAATTTTTTTTTTCAACTATACCTAAAATGACGATGTGTATTTACCGTATATAATATAAACAAGTTTCAGTTTCGTGGTGTAAAACAACGATGTTACTTACCGGCGGTTGAATATTATATCTAATAATAATTTTATATAATTTTATATAATAATTTTTTTTACGATATCATAATATCCAACACAACACTCTTTATATAAAAGAAACATAATATTATATTTTAATAAATTTTATTTATAAATTGTTGGAGTGTTGATGAATTATAAAAGAACTTATAATAATATTACAAATACAATAGATATTATAGTCTAAAATTATGCTTTATAATGATGAAAAAAAAAGAAGTAATTCAATTTTTTTTTACAATATCACATTTTTAATACAATTTCATAATACATTTAATTAATAGTATAAAAAACATAATATAAAATATAATTTACGTTTACATATCATTATTCTAAATCATTAAAAACATTTCGTTTTTTTTTCCATTAATCAGTCTATATTTTACGATCATCGGTTTGATATTAATATTGCGAAAAAATATAGAAAATATTTTTATTTTATTTTATTAAACTTACATTGTTATGTAGGATAATTATACTAAATCGTTAAATATACTAATATTACTTAAAAATTTAAATCGTTAACTATTGAAATAAAAAAAAAAAAAAAAACCGGTCAAGTGCGAGTTGGACTCGCGCACCGAGGGTTCCGTACAAACCTGTAGGTATATAAGTCTAGGTATATAAGTAAAAGTTCACCCATCACGACAATCGAGTCAAAGTTATGGTATTTTTATTGCAAAATGAAATTTATAACATCAAAATATGGAAAGCTGGAGGATCATAAATTAATGACAAAGGTATCTTTATCGTTCCAGTAATCCTTCATTTTATATTAACATCTATCATTTATTTTATAATATAACAAGGGCAAGCTTTTTTATCAAAGTTATTTATTTACAGTTTTTTAGTCACTGTTTAGAAATCTGGTACAACAATGTTAATAAAGAATTAAATTTGAACCAGATTTGTAAATGGTGACTGAAAAAGGTATGAAATTTGTATAGGTACAATTTGACATAAATTGTCAAAAATATTTTATTTTTATATGAACCATCTTAAGGAGACCTCAGAGAGTGGCAGCCCTGAGGACTATAAGGGCATACAGGACTGTTTCTGACGAAGCCGCTTTCGTTCTATCAGGCATACTGCCAGTAGACCTGATAGCCGAAGAGAGGGCCAGGATAAAGGCTAGGGCGCTGGAAGTTCCCCTACCGGGGGATTCTCCCCTCACCAGAAGCAAGATCAAAGATGAGGAAAGGAGGATCACAATTGAGAAATGGCAAAGCAGATGGGAAGCCACCTTAAAGGCCTCATGGACCCGCCGAATCATACCGTGCATCACTAGATTTGTGAATAGTACGACACCTAGGGTACCCTGGACCTACCACATGACACAGGCCTTATCTGGGCACGGGTGTTTTCAGTGGTACCTTCACCGCATGGGAAGGGCCCCGCGAGCCCTCACTGCATGCACTGCCCATGCGGCTCGGACACCGTGGAGCACACCATCTTCCACTGCGTCAATTGGGAAGGCTGCAGAGCCGAGCTCCACGAACGCTTGGGTCGATCTCCAGTCGTGACAGACATGCCTGGCATTCTGTGCGGTCCGGCCTTCGAAGACCTCCCGTTAGATCTTCAGGAGAATTCTACAGCTTTAAGCGAAGCAGAAGAGACTTTTAGACTCTTCTACAAAATGGTGGAAGACATCCTAACGCTAAAGGAGACAGAGGAGAGAGAGCTCGAAATTCGAACACAATTCGAAATTCGTTAAATTTACAGGAAACTAATTACGAAAAAATTACAAACTTTAATACGATTTCGCCAAATGATATACGTAAACGGAAATTTTTCGATAACTCTACACATCCACGAGCCAAGTGTGTAAAAGTTATGCCGTCGGTTTCTAGTCACTACGCCGGCCGACAAAAATCAACCGATTCTATAATATATATATCATCGTCACCGTCACCAGCACGTTCATTGGAGACGACGGACACCGACAGCGAAGACGATAATTTCGATTTCAAAAATTTTTCGAAACGTACCAAAAATAACGTTAAAAGATTAAAAAAACATACTCGGCAATCGTCGGCTGTTGGGAAACCTGACGATTGCCGAATACCGTTCGGTAATCATATCGTTACTTATAAATACGACGATTCGGCTAACGTTAACCCCGGTCCGGTATTCATAAAATCGGAAACTGAAAAATTAATATTATATTGCAAGAGTACTCGTTCGGAACGGTTCACGAGTTTTTGCCGTGATCTCAGTGAAAAATTTCAACTACGGAAACCTTTGGAAAATTTTTTAAATAAAACGAAATTGATGAAACGTTTTGTTAAAAAGTACGAATATAAAGAACCGATGACTTTCGAAGAGTATGAAGCGATTTCGTTAAAATTTCACTGTCCGATAAGATACGGATTTCGGATGTATGTACCGGTATGGATATTCCAAAAAATAACATTACAGTTATGCGCTCCGATATAGGGGAACGTCTAAAAGATTTTTCTATTGAAAAATCGGAAGCGCAAATCATCAGACAATCCATGGTTAATATTAACGTCGATATTTCCGAGTACGAATTGACATACGGATGCATACCTACACCGTTCGTGCCGGAAATGCAAATCGTCATTACGAAATTCATCGCAGACCGTTACTCGAAAACGCCCGTGTTGATCGACGGAGAGTTAGAGTTATTGTGTATGACGTATTGGCGATATTTCAGTTCGGACTTGATACAATATTGCGAAAAAACTCCTAGAAAATTATCCAAAATGGTTTTATGCGACATTGTAAAAAAATTGTTAAAGAGTAAAAGAATAAAACCGACCAACACCTCTAAAATACTTGAGAAAATGAAAGACGTTTTTTTACCAAAATTACTATGCGCCGTTAATATCGGAGACTCGGACCACGTGACGATCGGATCGCTGTGTATACTAAAGATGTTGCTGACGACGTTTCTGACAATGTATAAAATACCAAAAACCACGGTATCGATCATCAACGGGATATTTATGTATTTAAAAGTGGAGCATATATTAACGGGTAATACGTTTAATAAAGTGATAAAAGCTCAAGACCTGGTATTGTGGTGGTTTATCGAAACTTGTAACTTTCATGGAATCGGTATTTCAGCGATTAACTTGCCGACCAGTATTTTCGTAAATATATTGAAAACCCCTACGTCCGAAAAAGCTGATCAGATAGCGGTGTTTAATAAATCTGACGTTTTTGAGATTTTCAAACTATATTTTTCAAAGCCATCTGACGTTAGTTTAGAATTATGCGTATTATTAATGAAGTAAGAGAGAACAAAGTATGAAAGTGACAAACGAATAAAAGCAGAGAAGACCTTAGAAGGAGATGATTAAGGTTCCTAAACGCTTCCAAGAATACCAGATCACATCACTATAATACCAAGACACATAACTATTCAATATAAATGTATTATTGTAAACCTTGTAATTTTGTTGATAAATATATTGTATATCGTACTTTACAGTATTGTGAATGCAAAATGCATATGTTATAAAATACTATATCCACAATCAAAATTGATGTTTTAAGGATGGTTTTTTTTCAACGGCGGCCATGAGACTGTCCATCAACGTGTTAAAAAAAGATCCTGTTTCTGGCTGCACATTTGAATGCGGTAAGTTCAAATTATGCAAAATGCCATTAAACACAGGTCCCCTGTTAGGCAGAGTGGTGATGATCTTGAGCAAGGATAGGTTCAGGATGTACGGTGGTAATTCACTCCTTTAACCAAGGATGATTTAATAGCCTCTTATAGTTTATCATATTGACAACACCCAGATTCAGTTGTTACGAATAGGTATAAAGATAAGAAATTGGTTATCAGTTATTTACAATACATTTTTTATGAAACAAAATATTTACACATTCGATTAAACAGTATACGGCAGATGATGGCGAGCTTGAATCATGGTAGAAGGTCAGCGTTTTTAATACCTAATGGAATTTAGATATAGAATAAGTGAAAAATAATATTGACAAGGCTCTTATATTCTCCCAAATTTTTAAGACTTGTGGGAGTAATGCACATACAATGTAATAATATTTTAACGAACATGTTTCACTAAATTTACATGAAAAACCAATACATGGTAGTGGCTAATACTAGAAATACAGAATTTCTATTTTACTATTACGACAACAGAGATCACAATCACACAACACACGTGAAACTCTATTTTTACACTCTCTGAAGATTCATTACACTGAGGGGTCATGGAGCCATTCAAGCAAGGGTCTAAACATAGGTGAAAATGATGAGCACTTAAACATTGAGACCTCTTTGATTGAAACGACTTTGAATGAATGTACTATACTAGATGTAGAGGGATATCTGACCAAAGTTGTTTCAAAGATATCCTGCTAGATCCCAACAATAAAGAACAAATCCAACAATACATTGCCAACACCACATCCTCTTTTCCTTCCGGTGTCTCAGAACATAAAGGACTGTTTTTGAAACCACACTAAGGTGAAGGAGACGGTCCGAACACCTTGATTAAGAAGAACACACCTTTTCCATTAAGGAAGGGAGATAAAGACATTGTGAAGTCAGTGTCTGAGAACTTCTCAACAGATCTAGAAGAGGTTGAAGAGGTAATGAAGGGTATTAAAGAAGATATGGAAGAACAGAACTACACCGAGCAAGGCAACCCCCAGGTGAAGAGGAGACGTTACAATATGTAAAAAAATATTAAAGAGATTAATACGGAAAAAATAAAGAGAAAACGTATAAAAAGAAAAATATAAGCTCCATCGGTAGTGTCGTTGATATCGAAATGTTCGAAAAAAAGTTTTAAATAATATGCACCTTTTAAGACCTTTAGAGAAAAAAAATACGATAGAACCCTATAAAATATCGAAAAGCGATAAATATTTAATTTTAAACGGTGTTAAAACTTTTGGAATGATTTCAAACGCCGATACGTTAACGCCCGACGACAAAAAAGAACTAAATGTTAATTATGCCGAATAAATTTTCCCGTTGTAGGTTTTGAAAATTTATTGATAAACGAAAACACCGCCGTCGACTGTTGTTTGTCTTGCGTATTGCAGATACATAAAGTTCTTCAGAAGAAATCGAACGGGGTAACGTTTGAAACATTACAAAATTATTTGATACAAAAAGTGCAAAATAAAGACCTCACGCCGCTCGTAAATTTTGAAAAAATAGATTTTTCCGCATACTCTACAAAACGATATAAAAACGTAAGATACATACCCTCGTATAACCGACTAGGAAGTGATTACGGAAAATAATTATCTCTATCGGGAGTGTTGTCCGATTACCACGTTGGCTAAAAGTTATAACGGCGATACCGAGGACGGTGAAGATTACGGCGACGACGATGACTATAATACTGACAATGACGATGAATTACCTATAGGAGAACAAAATTTATTATTCGAAGATTTAAAGTTAAATTGTTTCGATGAAGTTAACGATCACCGTATGGAAAAATTAAAAAGAAAACGAATAAAAAAAAAAAAATTATCTACAGCAGTAGTGTCATCGATGTCGAAATGTCCCAGTAAAATTTTAAATAATATGCACCTTATAAGGAGTCTAGAGAAAAAAAAATGATAGAACCGTATAAAATATCAAAAACCGATAAATACGTAATTTTAAACGGTGTAGTAAGCGAGTTACTACGCAACAACTAAAATCCTAGCAGGTAACATATTTAGGGTAGTACATTATTGTAGATAGGTGACAATCAGATATGCCAAAGGGAAGTAGAAAATATCAAGTTAGCCTTGATTATGTTTAATACAATATAGTCGAAAAGCCTGTGGGAGTATAATACCCAAAGCGAAAGGATAAGCAAAATTACATTTTATTATATTCAAATAATAAAACAACAGATTGTCATAATCATGTTCCACAATCATATAGAAAAGACGGATGTGAAATTGGCAATAGCGTTATTCAATATAAAATAGTATAATATAAAAAAAAGAGTATAATAACTTAATATAATACAACGAGTAGCCAATAAATTAATTATCAGTCCATTATAGTAATACGCAGAATAGATTAGAATTTCGCAAGTACGTGGGAAGGGTTGATAGTCACAAAGACCACATCCGTTAGAACCAAGATACAATATCACTAGGCAAGGGGAGCGGGGACCGAACTATAAGAGGGACCCCGAAACGGTCTGTATTCAGACGTGTACACTCAATACTACCAGAATATTACAACGGAATTAAAACTTTTGGAGTAATTTCAAATACCGATACATTAACGCCCCACGAAAACAAAAAAAATAAATGTAAATAATTATGTCGAACAAACTTTACCGTTGCCGGTTTTGAAAATTTTATTAATTAACGAAAATACTGCCGTCGACTGTTGTTTGTCTTGCGTTTTACAATTACACAAAATTCTCCGGAATAAATCAAACGACGTAACGTTCGAAATATTACAAAACTATTTAGTACAAAAAGTAAAAAATAAAGATCTCACACGGATTGTAAATTTTGAAGAAATAGATTTTTCCATAGACTTTACGAAACTTAAAAATAAAAAATATATACCTTCGTATAATAGATTCGAATGTACTTACGGTAAATAATAATCTAACCGGTCAGAACTGTTATTGTACTTCAATTTTGTGATTGTTTATTTTTTTCTTTTGTTAATTTTGTAAATTTATTTATTTTCTTTAATATAAAACAATTTTTATAATACTATTGTATGATTTTACATAAATATTATAGCAATATTTTTTTTTTTTGTTTATTTAAACTGTTTTTTTTTTTCGCACCGTATAACAAATCGCTAGTAATTCAGGGGCGGACAGGGCCGGTGGGATACCGGGAACTTTCCCGGTGGGCCGCTGCTCAAAAATAATTTGTTATTATTATTTATTTATAATAAAATCAGTAGGTAGGTATAAATATAAATTATAAATATTTTGTATTTCATATCATAACGGTTGAGTGTGAAAAATTGTTTATATTATATTAATTGGTGTATAAGATTTTAGATTTCGGTTCAGCTGATTGACCAGCCCTTCGGTATCAATGCATAATCACAAATTATTATTTATAACTAGGGTGTGAATTTAAATATAAATTGTATTTTTTCTACATTTTCTTAAACATTGCTTTCCAACCAAAAAATGTATTTCATACATAAAATAATTTAAAAATGAAATTTGTATTTAGCATTTTTTTATCTTTATTGATTTTTAGAACATTTTTTTGATGTTTTTATGGCATTTTTATGGTTTGAAGGAATTTTTCGTAAATTTTATAAGTATAAATACAATTTTATAAACACTATTGCTTAAATTCCCTAAATAAGTTCAATATAATTAAAAATCATTTTTTTCTACTAATATTTCTATTTTATTACGTCTTATGTTTACTCCTATGACTTCAGTTATACAAAACAATACTTGCCAAATATAACTGTCGAAGTTTTTTATTTTAAAATACTAGTTAGTTTCTGATTGACCAGTGATACAACGAAACACAAAATATAACGACTATACCTATTTAAGTTCTACCTATTTTATTTTCATTTAAATTGGCTTTTAATTTTTCTGGGCATTTTATTAAGCTTTGTAATATTGTAACTAGTGCATAAAATGGTATTTTTAAGGCATTTTTCTTGTTTTTTTTCTTGTATTTATATCCATGCCCTATTTGGCTATTTATTATAACTTAATATGGCTTTATTAGACCAATCGATTAATATATCCACTTCTAGCTAGCCAGTATTCACTTAATATTACCTAATACCTAATATTAAATTGTACACAATAAAAAATATAATATAATTATAATTACATAATAAAAAAATATAAAAAATAATTTGATAGGTATTTATAAGCTGATAACTAAAAGGTACAGTTCCGTACGTTCAATGTAACGTTCTTAATTCAAAAAAGTGAATTTTTGAACTTTTTTGATTTTATTGTAGTGTGTTGTTTGATGATTTTGTAATATTTACTTATCTATTTGTTGTTTAAAATGGAAAGTAAAAGAAAGTGTGGTGTTGAGAAAATCAGAGAGAGAGAGAAAGGATACTCTTAGAAATATCAATGTTAAAACTTAAAGTAGTAAGAACGACCTATGTTTTTCATCCACAGAAAGTGATACATTATACTATGCAGTACATGTAATTAAGATAAAATACTAAACACATTAAGAATCTTAAGTTGTCGCCTGAGAGAATTGAAGATGAGTAGAGGATGCAACAATCATTTGTTAAAACTTTGGTACCATATTTAATTCTTACATTCAGTGATGACGAAATGGTGAGGGCTGGTCAAAATATAGATTTCCCGAGCTGAATAGTTGCCCCAGTCCGCCCCTGGCTAGTATCTTCACCGTCCTCGGTATCGCCGTTATAACTTTTAGCCAACGTGGTAATCGGGCCGTTTGTGCCAAAATTTGTCCAAAATTCTACAACACAAAATAAATAAAAATTTAAATGTGAAAAAAAATTAATATATTATATTTCAGTTAATTATAATAATATATAATATATAATAATTACGGGTTGTGAACTCTATTAATATAATTAGTAATTGAATGTAATTACCATTATTAGTGTTTATCAACACGTCGTTTGATTCTGTCGGCGGCATACGATATGATTCGAAATCCGCTAGAACATCTTCTTTGATTTCCCGGTAATCGGCACTCAATATTTTATCCAAGTACTCGGTCCTATCGTACGATGGAACATGGTCAGTGCAAAATCTGTCCAAAACACTGTGTGGAAAATATATTATTTATATACGATTTGTTTATAAAATATAATAAAATTTAAAATACATACATATTATCGCTTGTATCCGGTTCCGCCGCTACCACCGCTGTCGCCGTCCCTACGAGTTGATCCGGTGCCGACAACGTTGTTTCTATGGCCGTCGGTGATGCAAACGTCTAAATGCAAACACAATTATTAGATTTACAACGTTATAATTGAAAAAAAAAATATTATCGTGTGGCTTTACACAAACCATTATATTTTCATATTCTATATTGTTGGGGTCTTCGGTCTGTACATCTAAAATAGTATCTACGGCCAAACGATCTTCTTCTTCTCGGGAGTCGAGATATGCAAAAATTCGTCTTTGATAACTCCGTTGTCTAAAGCCGGAGATGTGGTTACCTACTACAACACAAAATAAATAATAACTTAAATGTGAAAAAAAATTAATATATTATATTTCAGTTAATTATAATAATATACAGAGTGATCCATTTAAGTGGGTACACTAATTATCTCGAAAAGTATTAACTTTTTTTTATTTTTTATTTTTTTAAACTGTTAGATTTATGCTTTTCTTTAAAACTCTATACTATTTTAATTTTTTTCACCCTTATATTTATTGGTGAAACCACTATCAACTTTTGATTTTCAAATGGTAACATATAATAAAAAGATCATGAATTAATAAAACCATTTTTTTTATGAATTTACGCGTTAACATTTTTATTATTTGTTAATTGGTTTGAGAGATACAGCTCCTCAAAGTATTGGTGGTTGAAAGTCGGTACTGCTGGAAAATTTTCATTTGTAAAGCCCAGAAGCTTTAAACTGATAAATTCGATACCGTTCGACCTAACTACCTATGGTACCTAACATTAAACATATTGATAATTGTTGTACTTTGAACCTGATTAATTGAATGTACATTACACCTATATGCTAATTTGGCCAATGCTACGTTTGGTTGACATTGGCTGTCGCACCAGATCCCCTCCATATTACCATAGGGTGACACTCGAATTGCCTCCCAAATTTAGGTAGGTGACCTTTTTTTACTCGAATTGCCTCCGGGTGTTTTCGGAGGCAATTCGAGTATACCCAAACGGTCTACTCGAATTGCCTCCCATCACTTACCTGGATTATTAACTAATATATCGATAGTTGTACGTGTATTTACTATCGATTATTATATTATTCCGTAATGTTCAAAAATAAAATGTTTAAAACAGTATTTCCCAGACAGATTGATATTTCGTCATTATTATTTTTAATATTATTAATTATTACTGCTGTGTCAGTCTATTTAAAAAAAACATTTATTTATACAAACTTAAGTTTTTGACTGTGCAACAGAATGATATTTCGTCATTATTATTAATTATTATATATTATTATATTGTGTTATATTATTAATTATTATTTATTTTATACAAACTTAAGTTTTTGACTGTATAACAGAATGATATTTCATCTATTTCATAATTTTTTTATAAATCGATTAATTATAGGTATCGCAGGCGATTCCAGTACAAGAATAGGTAGTGACCCTCTTAGGAGGCAATTCGAGTGAATAATATTTTTGAAATCAGGAGGCAATTCGGGTAACCTTTTGAAAAAAAAAATTCACGGGAGGCAATTCGAGGGTCTGATGGGAGGCAATTCGGGAGCGCCCTACCATAGAACAATAATAATCTTATTACTATTACCGATATTTGTCTTATAAGATAATAGAATTGATTAAAATATTATATCATATTAATTAATTAATGATAATGGTACAGAAAAATCAATCGGTTGTAATAAACTGAATACTGATAATAAACTTTAAAACTTGTATAGTAAAATACTAACCCATATGGCCATGCAGCTTAGCACTATTACTTAAATAGTTAAATATTAAATGTATAATGTAATTAATAATTGAACTATACATATGTATAGTTAGTTTATGTTGTATACCGTTATAAGTAGACAGACAGTTTAAATGTCTTTAATAGCATAATATACCTAACACAATTATAGTTGTTGAATCATTAAGTTTGTCAAAAATATTCCATTGAACTTAAAATTACATTATACCTAAGTCGTAATTTGGGATATATTTATGTATTTTATTTGGTATTTCAATCAAAAATATATGTATTTAAGTTTATATTATGAAGTGTGATGTAAACTTGATAATACATGAATAAAATCACAACATTTGTACCTACATTAAGTTTATTGGTAAGTTTTCTAGAAATGTATCCGTAGAAAAATTGTTATGATTAATACATTAATTTGTACATACATTATTATACATTATTATGACGTCTTAACAGTTTTTATTTAAATTTTATTTTCAGTTAAATCAGTTTTGTTCATTCAGTTATACCACCAATAAATGTTATTCAAAATATTTACTTATCTATTTGTTGTTTAAAATGGAAAGTAAAAGAAAGTGTGGGGTTGAGAAAATCAGAGAGAGAGAAAGGATACTCTTAGAAATATCAAGTTAAAACTTAAAGTAGTAAGAACGACCTATGTTTTTCATCCACAGAAAGTGATACATTATACTATGCAGTACATGTAATTAAAATAAAATACTAAACACATTAAGAATCTTAAGTTGTCGCCTGAGAGAATTGAAGATGAGTAGAGGATGCAACCCTCATTTGTTAAAACTTTGGTACCATATTTAATTCTTACATTCAGTGATGACGAAATGGTGAGGGCTGGTCAAAATATAGATTTCCCGAGCTGAATAGTTGCCCCGGTCCGCCCCTGGCTAGTATCTTCACCGTCCTCGGTATCGCTGTTATAACTTTCAGCCAACGTGGTAATCGGGCCGTTTGTGTCAAAATTTGTCCAAAATTCTACAACACAAAATAAATGAAAATTTAAATATGAAAAAAAATTAATATATTATATTTCAGTTAATTATAATAATATATAATATATAATAATTACGGGTTGTGAACTCTATTAATATAATTAGTAATTGAATGTAATTACCATTATTAGTATTTATTAACACGTCGTTTGATTCTGTCGGCGGCATACGATATGATTCGAAATCCGCTAGAACATCTTCTTTGATTTCCCGGTAATCGGCACTCAATATTTAACCAAGTACTCGGTCCTATCGTACGATGGAACATGGTCGGTGCAAAATCTGTCCAAAACACTGTGTGGAAAATATATTACTCATTATTATATACGATTTGTTTATAAAATATAATAAAATTAAAAATACATACATATTATCCGGATTCATTGTGAATTTGAAGTGAAAAGTCTAAAACACAATTATTCAAACAGTCGTCGTCACTGGTCAATACTAGCAATCACACTGCGAAATAGTCGAAAATGTCCTGACGTTATATTACGTCCGATCGTGTATAATACATATATATATTTTTCGAAATAACCGGTCTTGGAGACACGCCAACAGCAGCCTAAAATCGTAAAACCCACACACGCGCGCATGCATACACACACACGCACACAAGCACATAAAACATGTGTAGAAGGCCTACGTGACTAATGGACCGGTCGTCGCACAGGTGCGCTGCGGTTATTCCGGAGTTAGTAGGTAACAACAGCAGCATGTTTGGAAAAATATATTAATTAAGATTTATTGCTTTTTTTTTTTTGACAATTAAATGGACTGCTCGAACGGCACTTAAAAACCACTTAAACGTCTCTTGAAACCGACTTGAAACTTAGCGTTATGCCCCGGCTAGAAAAAATCGGTTATAACGCGTACTTGAAAAGCATAAACGATATTTTTCATTTTACGAATAAAATTAGTCTTTATTGTATAGTCGAGTGCGTATTATCGCGGAAGCCGTGTTCTCGACGACGACTATATGGAGGGTCCATTTCTCCAGCCCCCCCAATTTGGAATTTTGAAATTCTGATTATGCACAAATGTGCACGAAGTCCGGTCGTTTGTGCACAAAAACTGTGGAGATTATCCCTGAATCAAATTCGGGGGGCCACAGAAACAGCAGACCCCCGATTTGGAATTTTCAAATTCTGATTGCGCCAATCGTTTGTGCATCGTTTGTGCACGAATGTGCACGAAGTCCGATCGTTTGTGCACAATTACTTCCGGAGATATCGCAAAAACAAATTCGGGGGTCCATTTCTCCGGCCCCCCCAATTTGGAATTTTGAAATTCTGATTGTGCCAATCAGTTGTGCATCGTTTGTGCACGAATGTGCACGAAGTCTGATCGTTTGTGCACAATTATTTCCGGAGATATCGCAAAAACAAATTCAGGGGGTCGTAGAAGAGACAGTATACGGAAAAAAAACCCACGGAAAAAAAACTACAATCATGATAGGTATTATAATCAAAATTTTTGCGATATATCTTTTTCCTTTATTCTATTACTGTTACTTTATAATATTTATATTGTTATTATTAAATAATATCTAAAAGGCTCAAACAGTCAAACGTAACTTTTAGATTATGACGGACCGTCTCGAATGTGTTAATATTCTCGTGGTAATGTCGCTTCTAATCTTATACACTCGTGTTGTACCCACGGCTCTAGATAATATCTATAGCCGTGGTTGTACCTAACGAATTTCCATTAATCGATTTTTTATGAATGGTTGTAATTTCAAAACGTATAACCGTATATACTTGACATTTACGATTTACACCAAATATTCATATTATCATTTTCCACACATGGTAAAATTTTACAAACTATTTTGACAAGTTTTGAGCTATTTATATCCATGAATATATTTTTCTCATTTTGCAAATTAGTTTTCAATTAGGAATTCATAAAAGTTTTTTTTTTCCAGAGCTAACATTAGAAATTTTTATAAAAGATTCCCCACAAATTATTCTACATTTAATGCAAAAGAAGTTTTTCGGAAAGTATGAGTAATTTATTGGATAGCCATAAAATATTTTTATTTTTATTAATTTTTTAGGATGTCCGCTTAAAATCATTTTTCGTATGGATTCGTAATGATTTATCACATTGAATTAAAATATAATACAATAGTCATAAATTACAAATTACAATGACATGCTTGACAACTACTAAACTGCAGCAGAGCGACAACTTGTCCACCTTTTATTATATTTAAAATTTTTATAATTTACCTATTATAATCAATATTATTTCCTACAATTTTATTTTTTCCAGTCTAATATAGTTTTAGACGTTTAGATGAAGTATTTTAAAACTTTAACTTCTCAACTTTTCTAGTAGAAAAAATGCTCTGATCATAAACTTCGATGGTGGTTTTTGAAAGCAAATTGGATCTAGTTGGGGCTTTAGGAGGTCAAAATTGAAAATTCTCAGTATTTTCAAAAATAATCGTGAAAAAAATAATTGTAAAGGCGTCTTCTCTTAGATTGTAGGTATATTTCATTAATTAAATTTTTTTTCTAAATACGCAAATAAAAAATTATTTGCTTGATAAAAATGTAAGCTTAAAAATGTTATAAAAGTTTTTATTATTCCTATCTAAAAATATTGTAATATTTGAAATAAGTTCAAATTTTAACAAAACTAAAATTAATTTGTAGTTTAAAATTTCTCTCATACAAGTAGTTCATACTTTTACCAAAAAATTACTGATAGATATAGTTTTAGGGAAATTGGTATGCATATACAATGTTTATGCAAAAATTAATAGGTTCTGGTAAGACGTATTTGAATTTACGTCTTGCTTACTAAGTAAATAATGACACTTGAAATTTGATAAAAATTGTTTTTTTAAATTAATAATAATACTGGTTATAGGGGGGGGGGGCTTCAGCCCATTAGCCCCAACTCCCTTGCTTACGACACTGCCGTGGAAACTATATAAGCATGAATATCTTATTAAGAAAATGTTTGGGGAGGAAGGAATGTTATTGGCAGTTAAGACCAAATTATAGGTACCTAATTGTAATTATTTATGAAAATTTAGTCCTAAAACCGCTCCTGTGCTGACAGCTGACTACTAGCGAGGCCTGATTTAAAGAAATAGAGTTCACTATTTGCTTTAATATTTTGGTGACCTATTTAACTGAAAAGATTGATAGGTAACAATTGAAAAAAAAAGAATATATTATATTTAAGGTAGTTGATTACATGCAAATACAATTAATGTAATCCTTGAACCACAATAATACTTTCAGACACATAATAATATTGGAATACAATTTTTTTTCTATTGGTTTTTTTGCGAGTTCCACTATAGTGATTTCAAACGTTAAAGGGATTCCAGGTCAATAAATGACAAAACATAAATAATGTCCCTACAACATAGTTATATAGGAACTTAGTACTTACCTACCTATATATTTAATTCAATTTAAGTATATAAGTTCTTACTGACTACAACCACCTTATTATGATATATTATACGTATACTCACCAGTCCCCAGCTAATTAATTCAAAATATTGTAAAATATACAAACTTATAAAATATTGGTTCTTTGAGTTCCTGTTAAGTCAGTCCTGAAACAATATAACTAACCTAACCTATATTTAGTCGGTCCTGTTAAGTTTAATAAAATCTATAGATATTGTCTTTTTTTTTGTGGACTTACTATCAACATGTTTACATGTAGATACCGTCAAGATTTTGCCGATTTTGGGTATATTTTGGCCTTTGGGTATAATACTATAATCAATAATTATGTGTTACGCGTTGGACAGCCAAAAATTATAAATAAGTAAAAAGTAAAATAAATATTCAATTAATACACCAATTATTTGTGTATTATTTAAACATAGAACAAGTAAATAATAAATATATAAGTAATAAGTATTTATTTAATTTAATTTTTTTTTTTTTGTTGAATTCATATCATAATCCAAGTATTATTTAACTAATAGGCGAATATGAACTTACCTAATATTAATAAAGGTAATATTAGTTATAATATATGCCAAGTCTACCTATTTTATCAGTGTTATTTTTCAATATCTGCTGCCGTAGTACTGCAGTCAGTTCAACTTTTGTGTTAGTCAACACTTTATTTATATCGTCAACACAAATTGTTTTTTTCATCAAATTTTCAATAGATTGGAAATGTTGTACGATTGTTTCTTCATAGTCTATAGCCATGATATCCAATGCTTCATTTTCATCAATAATATGCTGTAAGTTACGTTTCTTAATCATATCTTGGAGTTTTTTGTCTTTATTTGCTAAATTAACTTCAGTAACCTCATTCCCCTGTTCTGTAAATAATATAAAATATGTATTAGGTATGTATTGATATTGTGTCTATACAGTAATTTGTAATAACTATCAAGTATACGAATATCTTGAAAAATCTTATACATTTTTATCTACAAAATAATTATAAAATTTTGAATATGATAAATGCTGTCAAAATTCGAACTTAAAAAAAAAATTGTGCCTATGAATTTTTAATATTTTTCAACTGCTATTGTAACAAAATGCCAGGAGCCTTATACATTTTATTAACAATTATAGAAAAAAAAATAAAAATTTACAATGTCCGTAAACAGCTCAAAAAAGTCAAAATATATTCAACATTTTAGGGTGTGTAGGAAATGATAATATAAACATTCAGTGAAATTTGTATGGATCTACAGTTATTCGTTTTTGAATTATAGCAAAATAACAAAATCGCTACATGAGAAATCGATAGTGAATATCCAATCTTGTAAACTTCAAACGCTCATCAAAATTTAATTTGATTTGTTTGTAGACATTTTTTTTGTTGATAAAGATCTTATATGAGGAATCTAATCAATCTTGTAAAAAGATACTTTTAATTTGTATTTAAATAGAGATACAAATACATCAACTTAAAAAGTATTTAAATAGTATTTAAAGTACTTTTTTCAATAAGTATTTAAGAACAAATACAAATACTTAGAAAGTATTTAAACACAAATACTTATTTTAATACATTTGTTTTAAGTTTTACCTTTGGGTTCAATACTTTTTCTCTGATATTTTAACTTTAAATTTGACCATGAGATCAAACTCATTCAAACTGTACATATTAATTATTATTATATAGTTAATACTTAATAGTTCATATATTATAATGCATGTTTCATATTCTGGTACTAACCAAGGTACCTATAATTGTATGATAAGTTAATAATCAAAAATTCTGTCAAAACAAAACACATCGGTGTTCAAAACTTATAGCACCCTTCTCCACAGTTCCACAGGATAATGACCTCAGTTGTCGAAGCCTCAACCTCCCCAAAAAAAAATCTATGTAAATGGAGGCAATTGAAATGATCCAAAATTAAACATTTATGAATTTATGATTTTATCAAAAATTACTTTTGAGTAGGTATATGCATAAATGTATTCCTGTTTTCCCGCTGGTTTCTGTTATTTCTTCCCAAAATTAGAAAAATACCAACAACATTCAAATTGCTTCCCGAAACTTTTATTAAGCTCAATAAATAATAATGTTGAAGTTGAAGCATTTTTACAGTTTTACTGATCCAAGGCGATTACGAAATAGAAAAATATGCATCAAAGCATCATCATTATTGATATCCGCGTGAGGATAGTGCAACATCGAACTGAACGTTTATTATGAAACTTGCACCCTAGAGTGGCCGAAATCAAACAACAGTGAAAGAAATTTTATACCTACTTTCAGTGGAGTACCCAGAGATACCCAGGATTTTAAAACTGTGGGTCTACCTTACTTACGAGAGGCCACTGTGTAGAAACTTCAACCAACTAGGTATTACAAAGTCGCACAATGCGCTCGCGATTTACCTTATTAGTTAATTACATCACATTTTGATACCAACATAATTCAATATAACTATATTACATGAGTCATAACAAATTTTTAAGTAAAATGTAAAATTTACTTACTTTACTTTTGTATTAAAGCAATATTTAATTAATTGTTATTTTTATTTGTTGCATTAAAATTTATATTCAATTAAAACATTTACCTGAAACATTTAAATCATTTTAAGAAGGGATTATACATATTTATTATTTTATTTTTATACGTATATTTGCAGTATACTTTTTTATTTTAGTTTTCAATGACTGATTTCATTTTCACAAGAGATATAGAAAGTGGTTCTAAATTCTAATAAAATATAAAAGTGTCAAAAATAATACATTTATAAAATTTATATTTTATAATAGGTACCTACATGTAAATATAATATGTAAAGAACTAGAACATTACAATAATTCTCTGAGCTTTTTCATTAGTGCCAAAGAATTTATTACGTTATCAAAATCAATGGTTTTTGCTATGTTGCTTTCTATGCTTAATATGGCCAAATTTGATAGCCGGTCTTCAGTCATAGTTGAGCGAATGCATGTTTTGAGCAAGTCCGGATTAAGGATCAATTATAGGCCCCTGAACACCTTACACTTAAAGGGCCCCCTTTCAACTTTAACTTCAAAATAATTGTATCATTACATATCAATGACTTTTTATTACCTATTGTATTATTTACTATACAAAAAATATACAGGATGTATTTTATATTCAGATATTCTTATGTCATTTTAAACATTTTTTTTAAAAAATTATGGATCGATGATGTGGAATTTCGTTAAAGAAAAAAAAATAAGTGTTTCTTTATTTTTAGCAGGCAATTTTTTTATTTAACATTTTCAAAATGTCTAAACACGCAGTTGTACCAATAATAAAATCGACTTTATTTTTTCAAATGGTAACCACTATATTTTTTGATGGATTCTGGTAAAGCTTCTTTTCTGAATATTTTGACAGTTAAATTATAAATTTTGGTTACCTAGGTTATATTAATCATGGTCCTCTAAATTTTATTATAATATGCATTAATACTTTTAACTGAAATACCTAATTTACAAGAGCTAAATATTTTTTTCTTATAACTATACCTTTTTAAATACTTAAATAGTTATATCAGCAATCTAAAATGCTCAAAAAAAATTTTTTTTTACTTTATTGGACGCTTTAAAATAATATATATTGGGGATAACGATAGGCCCCCAAAATCAATGGGTCCCTGGACCATGCCCCTCTGAATCCGGGCTTGGTTTTGAGAAGTTTTAGAGCGCTAAAACTTCTTTCTGCAGTTTCACTGCTGACTGGAAGTGTATAAAATATTTTATACAAAGTATATAAATTTGAATACGAAGACACCATGTCTCGTGATATCATGAACTTCAATACTTCATTTAATTTTAAAGGTCCAGTTAGGTACCTACTCCAGTTTCAAAAGTATTGTCATACACTCGTTGGTAAACTAGACTTAATGAACGGTATTCCACTTCTATATCAATTTAATTTATGTCAACTTCATAAAATCTTATATAATATATGTAACATATTTTTATACTCGTGTTTTTCGCATTTATTTACATTATATTATAAGTTGATAAGTTTAAGCACGATTTCGTACGCGCTATTTTACTTCAATACTCATTCTTCACGGCTGTATATACCCCTACATCAGTGGCGTAATTAGGGGGGATTAGGGGGATAGACCCCCCAAAACTTTTTTTACTGCTAACATTTTGATTAAAGTATTGTTAATGACCATTAATGTTTGCTAAAAACGTATATCCCCCTCCCCCCAAAGACAAATTCCTGATTACGCCACTGCCCTACATCATAATATACTTATACATTTGTATAATTACCTATATTTGTAATTGTATAGAAACATTCTTGAGCCTGTGTACATTTTATAAATTATTATTAGGTATTTAATATTATTTTATTATTAATCATTGTACATAATCAGAGGTAGTTCTTCGATATTCTGATAGAGGGGGCCCATATAATTTACAGGGGGGCACGTGCCCCTTCCCTGAATCCGCCACTGCTGGTTAATAGATTGTCTCGGTGGTAATGAGTCTACCTGATTACGGGTCAGGTTTTTTTTACGCACATAATAGGTACTTACTAATAAAAAAAAAATTTTAAATATTAAATCTTTATATTCTAAACTTCATTTTCCTCCCATCAAAATCGATGATGGCAGGCCAAATAACCATTAACCCCTCATGATATGCATAAAAATGTAATTTTTTTTTACTCTCGTAAGACTGCAAAAACTGAATAACAATGTGTAGTAACATATTAACATAATATATATCCGGACTTTAGACTTTGACGATGGTTGTTATCTTGTTCGTATAGTAATTTGTGTTGATGATAAATTTCAATAACGAAATTATAAATATTTAAGCAAGGTCTTCCCAACAATGCTAGTAAATTGCTAAATGATTCTCAAAAATAATTCAATTTTTTTTTAGATTTATAAACGATGCACATTTAGAATATATATAATCCATTGATAATATGAATATTAATAATTAGTAACTACCTAGTAGGTTAAATTGGGACATTTTTATATTTACATACTTCGCTTAAAAATTTAAAAATTATTTTGTCAGCTTGAATGATAAACCGAAATGACGGATATCATCATTCGTTTCTTGAAGAACAGTTGAAAATGTACCCATAAAAACAAAGTCAATCGTGACCAGTTGATAAGCAAATTAATGTAATTTTTCCACCCACTGATTAATACCTAGTTTGTTTTTATATTACGTGAGTATATTATTATCTCAACTATTCAATACACATATTTCCAAGTCAAGAACAAATATAGAGAAGTGGGGTTTATAATTATAATGTGTTCGTATATACCTACCTACTATATAATATTATCTAACTTAGAAGATTCAACAAATTGTAGGTCTATACTCTATAGTCTACTGTTCTACAAGTTACCTAGTGGTTTATCTTAAACGAAGATAAACTATTAGTTTGAATAATATATTAAAATTATTTTAATAACAATGAAAAGTTATACAAAATTACAATGTTTTTTAACTGTGTTATTATTATGTTTTGTGAATTCGGGATACAATATAGAAATACTAGTATCATGTGAAGGTAAGTTTTGTTATTTTTATTATAGTGTAAATTTCTAAATCATTAACACTGGACGGAAATATTCACAGTGGACCTATTGGTCTTAGAACAATGTTTATTTTCTTTGGACTATATGTAAGAGGCACGAATTAAACAATATAAAATATGAAATTTATAAAATTATGTAAATTTTACTTATGAGAAATCATTGGAACAGATATAAATAAAAAATACAGTGTTATTATTTACCACGGCACGATTAAACTTATTTTAAATTCTGAGCGAAGTGAAATGTTAAAAATACATAGTTACAATTTAATAAAAAGTACCGACTACCGTAGATAATATAATCTATGACATATTCAATATAATATGTTTATATTATTATCATTTATTTTTCCATACGCAATAACATTTTCAATATATTTTGACTCATTTTGAGCTATTTATAGGTAGGTATATGAAGTTTTGATTATTATTATTTTTATTTTTAATTAATGTCAATAAAAAAAATTTTTGATATGTCAAAAAACTTGAAAATGCAATACAGGATATGTTTTTGTTTGGTAGAAATTGAAAGAAAAGTCCAAAATAATTGTTAAAATTACAAGGTACTTTTCATTCAAAAACCAAACCTATTACAATAAATTGGTTAATGTTGTTCAAATTCAATACCTAATCCACTTTTACTTTATATTTTTAACACAATTTGGACGTATTATTATTATTAGAATTTTGGTTGTATAGACCTTATTAAATTAATAAAATAATGTATATTCGAATTGTGCCCCATGAAAATCCATGTTTATTTTTTTGACATCAAAAAGGTTGATTGCCTTTGATTTAAACGCTTGTAAATAGTGGATTTAAATATAAAAGACAACAAGCTGAAATATCCGAAAAAAACTCAATAATTTTAAAGGCGTTTTTATTACCATACTTAAAAAAACTTGTTATAAGACTTCCTTTCATCTAATTTTTTTTAATTTAAATATTAAACAGTAGTATATAACACAGACCACGTATAAACAAAATACCGTATACATTTTTAATGTGTCTATTTACCTACATTAAAGTATTAGCAAAGAACAATATCAATAAATTGACTAGGTATCAAAATAAACTGAAATATGATCCTATTTATATATTATTCATGTTTAGGTAATATTTGCCGGACCGGTGATGGAGAAACTTCCTACTCCATTTGTAAGAATTTTGAAAATTGTTCAGTTTCAATCGAAGAAATTAAGAAAAATATTTATCCAATATGCTCTTTCTACGGAAAAACTCCAATAGTTTGTTGTCTAGCAAGCATAAGTCCAGTTTTGAAAACATATTCTGCCACGGAAAGTATGTAAAGATAATCTGTTCAAAGTTGTTGTATTTATACATATATTATAATATACTAGCTGATCCCGTGCACTACTACGTTGCCCATTAAAATTGACAACTCTATATGAATAATATGTTTTACATAAAACAATTTAAAAGGTTGCCATGGTAATGTGGACACACATGGACTATACGATATATACTATCGTTATACTATCGTATATATAAAATATCTGATCCCATGCACTTCGTTGCCCATTAAAGACCTATAATTATGATTAATAGCTACAACACTCATGGTAACCACGAGTGTTGTAGCTATAAAGGCGGGTTCACACGACACGGTGTAGTATGAACCCCCCTTAATACCTTATCTATACCGCTTATACCGTATAGTTGAGTTCAATCCTACCCAGAGCGTGTGTTTACCGTATGGTTGACAGTCGTGGTTAAGAATATTTTTACGGGAACAAATTATATATTATCACGTTTCACGTTTCACGGTGAGCTGTGAAGGCGCCTTCATAATCATAATTATAGGTCTTTAATGGGCACCATGGTAACCATGGTAACTATGGATCATGGTAACCTTAATAACCATGAAACCTTGGTAACCTTAGTAACCATGGTAATGTGGACACACACACACACACACACATACATTCATTTTTATATATATAGATTATTTAATAATTATTTTTATTTCACACATATTATAGAGTGTAGAGAGTATTCAGAATTAATTTATTTTAAAAGAAAATTCCCATTATTAACATTAAATGAGGAAAATTACATCACAATAACTGATTGCTATGATGCCAATTCTTTAATTAGCGGCGGGGAAAATGCTGAACCAAAGGAATTTCCTCACATGGTGACCATATGAAATGTATGATATTATTAATTTGTATTGTACCTTTTTATATTTTTTAATTACAGGTATTGTTGGGTTATGGTGAAAACCCAAGCAATGATTCATGGTTTTGTGGAGGATCACTGATAAGTAATAGATATGTACTAACAGCAGCCCACTGTGAAAAAATCAATACTATGAAACCGTACGTATACTTATGTAATACTTACACATTATTATACATTGTATTTACTTTATAAATTGTAATAGAAATAAGTAATAACTAAATGTTCAGGTCATATGTTAAATGGGCTCGCTTAGGTGAACTAGACTATAACTCAGAAACTGCAGACTATAAACCTACAGACTATAAAATAGTAAAACGCATAATACACCCAAATTACAAATCACCTTCTCTGTACAATGATATAGCATTGTTACGTTTAGAAAGAGATGTAAATTTCTCGGCATATGTACGACCTATTTGCCTAAATACAGATATATTAACACCTTCAGCAGTAATGGCTACTGGTTGGGGAAAAACGGCTTTAGGTAAGTTAGTTTTTATTTATACTCAATATAACCTTGGTACATACCTACAATTATAATTTAAAAACATTTAGATGAAAGCGTTAGCACACATTTATTAAAAGTACGGTTAAACACTATTTCGACGGAAGAGTGCAATAATAGTTTCTTATACATGCCAAACAAAATTAATAAATTAGCAAAAGGAATAGATGAAAACTCAATGTTGTGTACTGGAAAAACAGAAAATCAAAATGACACTTGTAGTGTAAGTAATTTGTATTTCTGCATCATAAAGATGACTTTAATCACAATTTATTTTCACAATCTTATAGGGTGATTCAGGCGGGCCAATTCAAATAAAACACAATAGTTACAAATGTATGTATTCACAAATAGGAATAACATCATTTGGACAAATGTGTGGAAATGAAGATTCGTCTTCTGCTTTTACACGAGTATCGAATTATATTTCATGGATTGAAGAGATCGTCTGGCCAAAAATGTAATAACAAATTGTCTAATAAAATAATAAAGCATAGATTTGAGTTAAATGTTAATAATCTACATTTTAAAGTTTGAAACCATATAATTATGTTTATAATGAAAATTTATTTTTTAATTGCTTGTAGTAGCTGTGAATTCTGTTAATATTTTTAGATTTACACTAAAATATTTTTTGTAGATACCTATATTATATAATATATATTATACCAAAAATATATATTTGGTTTATTTATAAGACAATCTATTTTGATATTCAATCTATCAGCTATTTATAGTTTTTATAAACACAATGGATGAACGATCAATAAATATACAATATTTCCATTAGTCATCTAAGCAAAAAATATAATTTTTAAATTTAAATTTAAATTTACCCTGTGCAAGAAAAATAATGCTTTATAAATTTATAATACAATAATAAAAGTTAACTTATAGTTCTTAAATATAAAAATGTGCGTTATTTAACCACATCTGTTTGTCTCACGTATAAGTATAATGAAACAAATATGTAGATACTAAATATTATTATAACACTAATATAACACTAATATTATGATTTCCACGAATTTGTAATAAACCTAATCGGTTTATCATAATAAGTAATCTAAAATTCGCTTAATTTTATCACTAGGAAATCCTTATCAAAATGTAAATCAAATAACGGGTCAGATATTAAAAATTAATTCAGATTTCAGATATTTTATAAATTATATATGCTCTAAAGTCTAAATTGTATTTTTATTTTTTGGTTGGGTCGTAGGTATATGTTTGCGTTTTAATGTTTAAATTGACTACAGGCTAACAGTTCATAAAAAAAAAAATTAAATGAACGACCTAATGAACGCGTTCGTTTTTTAAAAAAACACTAACGTGAACGTGAACGAGTTTCTTTTTAAAGGACTATACGTGAACGTGTACAAGTTCATTTTTTTAGTCAACGCTCCGAACATAATTTTTTCAAATAAAAAAATGTTTATGTAGTTAACTTTTCGAGTTGCCACATTTAACTGGGAAAAAAACTGTGGGTCAGCTGACCTCCCAAACCCCCCCTGCCTACTTAGCTAGTTGTTACCTACTAACATAATTATTAATATTTACTTGGTGTTACTTCTGTTACTAATAGGTACTTATATAAATATATAATAGACAATAGTAGCACTATAGTAGCAGACACAGGCCATATCAGTGTAGCACATTAACATTGAACATATTAAATCTCTTTTAATGATAGGTACCTACTTATGTACCTACTATTAAATTATTCAAATATACACACATGATACCAGTGGCGGTCAAATGATTTTTTCAAGGAGGGGGGGATATGGCTGATTTTTTAATATTGAATCAAATTTGATTAAATATTTAGTATTTAGTGTGTAAAAAAATGTTTATCCCCAAGACAAATTCCTAATTATGCCACTGGACCCTGTAAAATATTACCCCTTACCAGTGGCGTACCTACGAGGAGGTATGGGAGTAATATCTCCCTCGGAGACAAAATCTTGTAGCTATATAATAATGTGAATATAATATGTGTATTGTGTATACTGAATGTCTAATGTCTATTAAAATCTTTATATCCCTCCATGAAAAAATCCTAGACACGCTACTACGCTCTACTGACCTTAGGTTAAAAAAAAATATTAAATTATCAAATTCAGGACAAGATCATTATTTCCGTATCCCATTAAGTGTATTTTTGTGGACAAAATTATATTTGCACTAGGCGCCTTAATATATTATGCATTCTAAAATATATATAATATATATATATATATATATAATTTTAGTCTAATAATTGTATTTAGATATACTATTGTAATCACAGAATATAATATTATACAACAAATTAAACTAATATTTTTTTATACAGAGTGATCATAACTTATATTCTATCAATCATTTACTTATGGTCATTCGTATATATTTTATCAATAATAATATATATCATAATAAAATAATATTATATTAATTGTTTAATATAATAATTAATAATTAATGTACCTATATTTTTTTCTGAAACACGCTTATGATTATTATATATGTATAATAAATATGAATTATTACCATAATATTATAAAACCCATAGTAGCTATGTAAATTTAAAAAAATAAATGTCTTTGTAATAAATTGGACAAAGATGGGCACTAAGTCTAACTAGTTAGTTTTAATTCATAGTAATTGTATAACTGCACTAACTAGTTGAATTTAATGTGTAAAATGATCTAATCTAACTCGTTAAAAATAATAAGTTTCGATTCACATTTATGCACTGCTATAAGTACCTACTTTTGAAGTTATATAAATCCTGTTCGAGAGGGAGCTGTACAGTTGTATATCCAGATGTAGTGTAATATTTGTCATGAAAATTTTAGTGTTGGTGCCTATTTTTATTTTATGTAAGTATTCAAAAAACAATGGCAGTCATCAGAGGTTTGTGGGGCTGTGGAAACTCCATATTGGTAAAAGGACGTTTCGCCCCCGTCAAAAAAGCGAGTCCACAGAAGTTTCGTCCCCGTCTATTATTAATATAGGAAATTTGGCCCCCGGGAGTTATGTGATGTTATTTACCTACTCATAGGACGTTTGGTCCCGATATTTTAAATTACTACATTTAAATGGTTTTTTATAATTTAAATTTTCAATTATTTTTAAAAAACGTACAATTTCAATATAATTTATATTAATGGTAATCGGAATAAAAATCCCCCGGAAAAAAAATCCCCAGACTACAATATTACTCACAACCACATGCAAATGGTTAAACAAATATTTTTTAAACGTTAATTAGTATCTATAATTAATATTTAATTACAAATACGTATATTATATTATAATAATTATTAAAAAAATTATATATTTTATAAATAAATTAGTTTTTGTTTTAAATTACGATAATAATATATTATGTCTAATTCAACTTAACAACTTAACAATAATAATATAAATAAATAACTATAAAAAATAATAAAAAAATATAAAAATTAACAATAACATTTTATACTACTATATTAATACACATTTTATGTTGGTATAATTCTGTGAAAATTAAATCCCCGAAATAAAATATTACGTTTTCAAAACTTCTAATGTCACTTATGATTGTTGTGTGTGGTGTAGTGTACACAAATATATAAAGTATAAAAATATAGGTGGTAATATTAATAATAATAATTATATAATCATAATAAAATAATTATCAAACAATAATTTATTGAATGTGTTATAGTCACCTAAAAAAGGTAAAAACATAACATATAAAAATGGCAATCGGAAAAAAAGACCAAGGAAAAAAAGAACACCGAAAAAAAGACCAAGAAAAAAAGACCAAGGAAAAAAAGACCAACAGAAAAAAAAAACACGGAAAAAAAGGACAATTTACAATTTTTGAAAACTTCATTTAAAACCGAGAATAATCATTTTAGTTATTTTGTTGTAATTTTATAATATATTATAATATATTATTTAAAACACTTTAACACTTCAGTGACTGTCAACCTCGCTGTCAACAGACTAAATGTTGTTCACTAAAATAATAGCATAAACGTATGAAAATGTCTACATAGGTCACTGTGATCTCTGCATAGGGAATTTCCAGTAATATAAATTTATTTTACTCTATATTATACCACAAATTATATTGTATTTAATAAAATATTTACTTTATATTTTATCACTAGTTATATTTTATGATAAAGTGTGAAAAGGTCACTGTGATCTCTACATAGGGAATTTCCAGTAATAAAAATTTATTCTACTCTATATTATTATACCACAAGTTATATTGTATTTAATATAATGATATAGAGATGAAGATTTGTATTTTTAAGGAGTTCAATATAGGCAATTTTCTGTGCGTTTACTGTTTACATGATGGTCGTATAAATAATATTATATAAATTTGTAATGAAGGTAATTTCTCCTTTTATTAAATTTAAATTGTGTATAATATCCAAAAAATATATTATAATGTACATATTAATCATAAAATTACAACAAAATAACTAAAATGATTATTCTCGGTTTTAAATGTAGTTTTCAAAAATTGTAAATTGTCCTTTTTTTCCGTGTTCTTTTTTTCTTGGTCCTTTTTTCCGTGGTATTTTTTTCCTTGGTCTTTTTTTCCGGGATTCTATAAAAATATTTAGTAGGTAAATATAGTAGGTATACAAAAATATTATACGAAATATAGGTGGTAATATTAATAATAATAATAATTATTATTATAATCATAATAAAATAATTATCAAACAATAAATAAAAAAACATCGAATATAAAAATATTTCGAATGTATTATATTATTTATAAAATATAATTTTTTTAACAGTATAATATTATAATATAATATACGTATTTGTAATTAAATATTGATTATAGATACTAATTAACGTTTAAAAAATATTTGTTCAACCATTTGCAAGTGGTTGTGAGTAGCATTATAGTCTGGGTTTTTTTTTCCTAGGGTCAGGGATTTTTTTTTCCGTGGGATTTTTATCCCGGGATTCCATATTAATATTCCTGATTCCTGCTTTAAGCTAAAAACTTGCATTTATAATTTAAGTATTGATGTTTAATTTATTCTCAGTTATTTCAACTATTGTCCTCATGTGTTAAACGATAATTTTAGTCTTTCAATTCTGTACACTTACCCTTTGGGGTTTTACATATATTTATTTATTTAATACAGTGTTTCCCAACCTTTTTACCACCACGGACCACTTTGACAATAATTTATAGGTCGCGGACCACCTCAATTTTACGCAAACTAGGAAGACCTTTTTTTTTTTTTTTGCTCATTAACAAGAATACACAAAAATGTATTGGAAAATTTTTATTATCTTACTGTACTATTATATATAATTATTAAACTTTACTAATAATTTACTTAGTGTGATTTTTGTATACGATAAGATAACCGTATATTACGGTAAAATAAAATATTTTTCGCTGTTTAAAAAAAAAAATAATTTTTAATAGAAAACTAAGAAAGGTACCGCGGACCACCTATGACTGGCCCACGGACCACCGGTTGGGAAACACTGATTTAATAAATATTAGGTATATTATTATTATCATTATTAAAACTAATAACTTTTTTCAAAATATTATTTTTGGGAATTTCCTAACATGTGAAACTACCAATTTCGTTTGAGTTGTTCGGCGACAAAGACGACGACGACAATGACGATAATATTATGAACACCCTCAAATGTCCTATCTTAATAATAGACGGGGACGAAACGTCCGTGAGCTCATTTTTTTTACGGAGACGAAACGGTGGGCGCGAAACATCCACGATTTCTCCATATTATATTTCCTAAAAAATCCAATATATCATAGAAGACTTAATTTTTTAACGTAGTGTTGTGACTTTTCGTGCGTATAAATTGTGCTAAAAAATTATAAAAATTATATTTTACTTATAATTTAAATTTTAAATTTTAGTCTGCATAATCTTTGTAAGTATATTCTTATAAATGATTGTGTACAGTTTGTATTTTGTACTTTGTAATATAGTTTCCATACAGTAAGTTAGATTTTTGCAATATCTCCTGGAATAATTGTGCACAAACGACTGGACTTGTGCACTAACTATGCACAAACGAACTGCTCCAACAGAATTTCAAAATTCCAGATCGGAGGGCCTCAGGAATGGACCCCCGAATTTGTTTTTGCGATATCTCCGGAAATAATTGTGCACAAACGATCGGACTTCGTGCACATTCATGCACAAACGATTGGCACAATTAGAATTTCAAAATTCCAAATTGGGGGGGCTGTAGAAATGGACCCCTATATGGATACGTCGTGTCGCTGCCGCGGTTCACAAAATCGACGCACTCCTTCGTCTTAAGTCGGACGCACATACTGAAAATATTTCTTACTCAATTATTTATAGTTATAGCAAAACATTAAGAAAATATATCGACAATCGACCAATCAGGACGAGGAGTGTATAATGTATACTTTTATTGCCCATTATTTATATTCGTAATAGAAACTGGTACGGAAAATACAATAGTGCGTCTTTTGGGTGTGCGCTGGTCGGTTTTTTGAAAAAAAACACGTGCGTTTTACCTCGAATACCGAGAATTCTAAGTGTTCATATATTACGAGTTCAAGGCCTACAACACACCCGTAATTGTATACCGTAGTTAATTTACGATGCTTATCCCTTTTATTACAGACGGCGTCTGCGGGTGGTGATAAAATATATGTGATAAACATGCGCCACATAATATACGAATACACTTTATTATTATTAACTTGATATAATGTACAAAAGAGAGATTATTCCTTATCGACCTTGTGTAAAAAAAAAAAAGGAAAAAATCACGTTTTAATACCAAACGCCCTATTATAATATAAAATGTATACAACACACGGATCGGATCGAGTGTTGTAAAATATTCTACACGTAGATTAATATAATAATTTAAATGCGAATGACATCGCCGTCACTATTCTAAAAAGCGGTTCTGTTGGTGTAGGCCTACCATTATATGTATATTACCTAACTATTTGATGCGTTTCTGACAAAACGATAATTTGTATTCGGAATCCGGTATAAATTATAATGTTAATATTCCAGGCGCGCGCGTCCGTAAAAAAATAAAACCCGAGTCTACATATTAAAAATATTATCTTAATGAGAATATTATTATAGGTAATGTGTTTTCAAAGCGCGAAGATTTGAATAACAAAAAAAAACTATTAAAAACCCGGTATTGAAGAATATATTTTAATATATTAAAACCCCGAGACTTTACGGAGGATCTAATAATAATAATAATAAGAAGAATAAGAATATTTCCATATGCACACAATGACCGTAGAGACCGTAGACCGTAGACCTGCTATGACATCGTATAGATGGGTCGCTGTAAATTGCGGCCCATTTTTAATTTTTTTATGTAAATTGAGGCCCGGGCATATTTTGTACATACGTAAACTGCGGCCTGGCTATATATTTTATAAATACGTAAATTGCGGCCTGAGTATATTTTATACATGCGTAAATTGCGGCCAGGGTATAATTTGTATTAGGTACCTACCCAAATATTTTTTATTTATAAGTAATAATTACGTCTAAGCCTGTTTTTGCAAAATCAATATTTTCCTTCTCATTTTTCAGACTTAGGACATATCATCAATGGCTTTTCTTTTTAAAATATTGTTCGGTTTCTGTCAATTTATTATTTGTTCCGAAATTTTAAAATGACTTTTGTGATCTTTAAAACTATCTATACAAATATTATTATCATTAAATTTCAAAAAACACTTACACGTTTTAACTGTGCAGTGTGCATACCCAGCGCTGAATATCATACTTTAGCATTTTGTGAAAACGAAATTTGAAACCATCAACTACTTTCAACGTTTTATTCCTTTCACTTTTCATAACGTCCATTTTTATTAAATTGAAAAAAAATATTATTATTATCTACATTGATCAATCAAAGATTAATACTTATCTTTAAATTGTACAGCCGACCGGAAATCGGAATATCCCACGCCGCAATTTACGTACATTTCAAATATACCCCGGACGCAATTTACGCATGTTTTAAAAGTACATGGGCCGCAATTTACGTAGTATATAACTATGACCTTTTTTGGGGGACGCAATTTACCGGCTCCGGTATAGATCATTGTCCCGATTACGATTTTTCCGAGAATTTTAATCACAATGCTCGGTCACACACGTGTGCCCGGCCTAGCAGAAGTACTTTCGGAGGGGTGTCACCGGTTTCCGCCAAAAATTACCTTTCCGTTTTCCGCCAATACCTTTTTCCGCCAAATCAGAAAAAATGGCATTCCTTTTTCCGCCAATTATAAATTATTGAATTTTAAAGTTTAGGAACCCTTACGTAAAGATTTAATAATTGCACACTATAGAGTTAAAAATAATAATATTTTTTCCAGTTATTACTTATTATATATTAGTAATGATATTAGTGTATCGACAAAATAAGTCAAAAAATATAATTGAGTATTATGATACGTAAGGGTTCCTAAACTTTAAAATTTCAAGTTTCGGCCAATTAATCAAGCGCTGACATAATGACATATTGTCATCAAGACAATGCAAATATAAATATCATTTTTTTAATACTTATATCTATTAATTATTATACCTACCTAATAAGTGTTATGATCAAATTATATTTTTTATAAATTTCAAATTAATCATATCACATTATCACTGCAATATCCATTAGGTACTTATAACACGTTATACATCAACATCAATAACAAACCCTGATACTATCATAGATATATAATAGTACACTTTAGAAGTTTCAAGTAGGTAACCACGAATAATATTATATAATCACAACAAAATAACTAGGTTTTAGATTCTGAGCGGAGTGATGAATGTATTGGTTTTACAATGATGTGTGTTTTTATATTTATTTAGATTTTTTGGTAACAGAATTAACTACTTACGTGGAATCTTGTTTCAAATTTTCAATCCTTAGCTATAAAAACTAAACATTTTATAATTTATTAGTTACGATGATTGATAATTTTCGAGATTTTGAAAAATTCTGTAAAAATTCGATCTTTAAATGCTTATAAAAAAAAAATTGTGCCTATGTATTTTTAATATTTTTCAACTGATATTGTAACAATATATCAGGAGCCTTGTATTAAATTTTTTACATTTTTTGGTCCAACAGATAAAACTTAATTGATATTTATAGAAAAAAAAACTAAAAAATTGAAAACTGAAAATGTCCGTAAACAGCTCAAAAGGGTCAAAATATTTACAAAATTGTAAGGTGTTACATCGTTTCACTCGGAATCTAAAAAAAATATATATATTATTATTTCACCAAATCCATCGATTTGTGCATGCGCTTGCGAACCGCAGTTGTTTCCCGGGAATTATAATGAATAACCCACCGTTGTTGCATATGCGTGTGGTAGTGGTGGCGTGCTGGACACTCACACCAATGTTTATTTAGATATTAGGAAAAAAAGTCCGGGGAAAAAAAGTCCAAGGAAAAAAAGTCCGAAAAAAAAAGTCCGGGAAAAAAAGTCCGAATAAACGGAAAAAAAGTCCCAGAAAAAATTATTTAAAAATAATATTATTTATTAAATTATTATACATAATTATTAATTATCATCATAATTTTAAAAATACTTATATATTAAATTATTATATTAAAAAATTGAAATAATTGTATAAATGTAATTACATTGTTTGAGAAAAATTAACAAAAACATATTTTATTATTTATCATTATTTTAAATTTATAACTAGGCCATTATCGTTACTACTCTCTACTCCTTTTTCGTAAGCAGTGTGATATATTTTGTAATATCAGTTCGACTGGTTCGTTATCTGCAGATCGTTGACATAATATTTGAAGACGGTGTTCCAAAGTATTTTCTTTCCTTTTAGATGTTAGCCCGATATTATTTAATTCTATTTTTGCGATATCAACACTTATTTCCTGTCGCATTTTATCGGTAATTAATACACCAGGACATTTTTTCAAAGACTTCTGCAGGGAACATTTCCATCTTATACTTTTTTTTAGTTTATGCTGGATTGTATATGTAAATCCACCACAGACAATTTTTTTTCCATTTTTTATTAATTTTACACTATCCATTATGATGATTATTATAAAATTATGTACTGCACTATTACTGTTAACACTGCTATGACCCAGGGAACACAGTTGACTATACTAGTGATATAATATTATATCTTAGGTACCTAGGTATATTCTAGATGGTCGGCAGAGTCCTACCCCCACCTCCACGCGGTGCCGACTGGAAACGGAATTCCGGTTCCGGCCAACGGGGGAGGCACAGAAGGCAAACTGTATAAAACCGAACACCGGCGGGTCAACACCAGCGACCAGAGAGGGCCAACATCGCCCTCCAACCACCGACAACACGGACCGAAGGCTCGATGCTCAGAAGACCGGGAAGGTTAGACGGGGACCCAGCGGCTAGTAAACTATGCGGCCCAGTACCATCATCCGAAACTGCCCCACAGCGGCAGGCGTGCCCCGGGGCATTAGTAGGACGCCCGCACGATTCGTCACCGTCCGGGTGATCGCGATTGTTGGGAAAGGCCGCTAGTCAGAACGCCTCAAGAAACCGCCGACCGGTCCTCCAAGCACCGAGCAGCGACGAAGAACAAACGGAGGAAACAGAAGGAAAACTGAACAAACCAAAACACCGGCAGTCAACAGACCAGGAGGGCAAACATCGCCCCCATCCGACACCAACAACAGCCGAGGACGGATTCCGGGAGACGAGCGGAAAGCAGCAGAGCAACGGCAACTCTCTGCACCCCGAAACCCAGCGAAACTGTCGACAGCGGATCGTGGGCCCGCTGCGCAGGAGTAGAACACCCACCGACGACCAGTCATCGTCAGGGTGGCTGAGGAAGTAGGGGCTGCAGATGCAGACACCACGCGACGCAGCGATCCAATCGGATCCCGGAAGATGACAGCACACAACGACGGAGACAGAAGGAAAACTGGAAAACCAACAACGGAGAGACGGGAATTCCAGAACATCGAAGGGGAATTCACGAGGCACGAGACTCGAGGCCGGCTGGCTAACCAGCCGGGCCGGGAAGACCACGAACGTGTCTTCGAGACTGGCGGGCAGCAAAGCCGGGTCGAGAAGACAACAAATGCAGCCAGCGGGCCTTCAGCCAACAATGTCTTTTCTTACCATAAAATGTAAAAAAAATTAATTAGTTTAAATGTGCGCCCATCAAGGGACATAACAAAGGTGTAAAAAAATTAAATTTATAAATGTCATTATTAATTCAATAAACGATGGCGGCGTCGCGGAAGTAATGCGAAAGCTGTTCCCGCGACGCCGTCGGTTCCAAACTGAAAAAAAAAAAAAAAAAAAAAAAAAAGGTATATTCTAGATAAGTTGTAGTAATGTTACTCGTTAGTTTTATACGGAAATACCCCTGGACCCTAACTGAAATATCATTGTGTAAAGTAAACCTGTCTCCATATAGTAGACATACAGAGCGATTAAAACATATTATTTGAAAAAAAATAAGCTTAATAAAATATTTTTGTTTAATATTTTTCTAGGAACTAATTTTATTTTAATTTGATAACTAATTTATATTTAAATATTTTTTTATCGGACTTTTTTTCCGTTTATTCGGACTTTTTTTCCCGGACTTTTTTTCCTCGGACTTTTTTTCCCGGACTTTTTTTCCCCGGACTTTTTTTCCGTTTACCGTTTATTTACTACCCACAGAACAGCACTACTACTAATTCTCTATCGTTTACTCCTCAGGAACAGAGCACTTCCAGTTCCCTTAACCAAAAACAACGCCCAATGGAAAGTCAAATTAATTATTTATGAGCGTTTGAAGTTCAAATATTTACGAATTGTACCGGCTGTGTTCACTCGATTTCTCTTGGAACGATTTTCTTAAAAATTGTTGTCCAAAAAAAATAATAACCGTAGGTACTTGAAATTTGCACCAAATTTTTATTTTATCAGTTTCTATACTTGCTTGACAACATTTCAAAATAATTTCACCGGTCTTGGCAGTTTACGGATTTTTAGATTCTGAGCGGAGGGATGAATGTATTGGTTTTACAATGATGTGTGTTTTTTTTATATTTTTTTTTGTGTCTGTCATCACGTTTTAGGACAGTAAAAGTGCTTGGACATTTTCAGTTTTCAATTTTTTTATTTTTTTATTTTTGTGTCTGTGTACACGATAAGTAGTCGAAATAATGCTTCGATTTTCGACTTCAGTATCTTTTTCGATTCGAAAGTGAATATCGTTGGTGCATTGAGGAGGTCAAAAGTATAAATTTCCCAGTAGTTTTCACAAGCGCCGTTAAAAACAACATAAAAATTAAGAAAAAACGGGAATTTTTACGCAAAATTGGTTTTCCAAAAAATCGATTTTGGTTATTGGTGTAACTCTAAAACAAATGAACGTATATACATGCAATTTTCACTGGTTGTTTATATTTGCATTTTCTATACACGATAACATTTTCAAAATATTTTGATTTATTTTGAACTGTTTAGGGACATTTTCATTTTCCATTTTTTTTTAGTTTTTTTTCTAAAAATATCAATAAAATTTTATTTGTTGGTTGCAAAAGCTTGAAAATTTAATAGAAGGCTCCTAATATATTGTTTCAAAGGCAGATGAAAAATATTAAAAATCCTTGGTCAAAATTTTCTGTTGGGCCAAAAAGTGTAAAAATTTAATACAAGGCTCCTGATATATTGTTACAATAGCAGTTGAAAAATATTAAAAATACATAGGCACAGTTTTTTTTTATAAGCATTTAAAGATCAAATTTTGACAAAATTTATCAAAATCTCGAAAATTATCAATCATTGTAATTAATAAATTATGAAATGTTCAGTTTTTATAGCTAAGGATTACAAATTCAACACAAAGGTTCTCATAAATAGTTCATACTATAACCAAAAAATCTAAAAAATATATGAACACACTTATTTTTTACAGACATTTTAAATTCAAATTTGGACGAAATTACATATTAAAAAACCTAGAATAACTATTTTAGTTATTTTGTTGTGATTGAAAAATGTTATTCGTGGGTACTTGATACTTCTAAAGTACACTATTATATATCTATTATGAGAGTATCACGGTTTTTGTTGGTGTATAACGCGTTATAAGTACCTAACGGATATTGTGATATGATTAATTTAGAATTTATTATAGGTACCTACCTATTATAGGTCAATTTGTTTTTTATTATCATAGATATGTATATAAATTGTCTTAAACCTAGACTGACATACCGTCTTCGCTCAGAATCGTTTTTCTTATACAATGATATTGTATCATTGAATTGAAATTTAATAGCATCCATTATACAGTGACCCACTTGTAACCTACTGTACAGCAGAGCGACATCCACTTACCCACCTTTTTTGTCATAGTAGTTTAAAGCAATTCGGAACTACGAACATCGGTTTTTCAAAACAATATTATATTCGTTACGAATTTCTTTGGCTAGTCTATCGCGCAAAACGTTTAAATCGCACAATTTTATATAGGAATTTTTTTTTTAACGTATTCGACCATATCAACGTTTATATCGTGAGTGTTTTATTTAAACGTCTACTACACTCGGATAACAAATCCCCGACGGTAGATAGGTTTCGTTTTTTCCGTTCGGCATTTTGAACATTTTCGGTTTCACATGTTTTGACCCGGTTTTTTATTCTTCTAGCCGATAAATGTAACAATAACGATACGCGCAACAGGTCCAAACGCATTTCTTTGTCGATATCTACAAAATTTTTAACAACACATGCTCTTAAATATTTTATTTCTTCGTTGGCGTCCGGCAACAACAAAACGTCCGACTCCGGGACACATGTCGCCAAGGCGGTCTTCATACATGTGCGTACAATCGTGGAACGAGATAAATAATCGTTATTGTAATCGTCGTCACCGTTTGTATCAGGTCTACAACAGTTATCGAAACCATCTCGGACCCCGAAAGACTCGTTTTATATCTAAAAGTCAAATCTGGAATTACCGTCGATTTACCGCCCGCGAGGGCCGTAGAAAACGTATCCACTATATTGTATCGCATGTTCGTAAAAATGCATCAGATTCCAAAACCGATTCGATATCCTCGATGACACTATATCGGCCGTGTCCGTCTGGCGCCGGTCTACGCTCGTCCCGCTCGTACGCAGTAGACATAACAATAATTTTAAAATCACTTATGTCGAACCACACCACCCGACGTTCTATTTTTTTGCTTTACTGACGGCACGTCGTAAATACACAAACCGAAAGACGTACCGTCATAGGCGGAAATTTGGTGAAATTACTGGGGGGGGCTGAGCATTATATTTCTCATTGTACCTATACAGGCACTATTGTACTAGAGTCGCTCGCAATTATTTATTTCAACAAGACAATTTACAAAGTTTGACATACTAAACAATTTAACCTTAATAAAGTACAAAAACAATAATGTGCCATAGGTACCTTGAACATTTAATAGAACATTTTATTCTAAACAAAAATAGCATTAAATTTATTTTATTATCAAGTTATTAAATTAATTGAACAAATTATACTAATTATTATATATTTTTATATATTTAGTCACATAAAAATTGTGAGGGCCAGGGGGGGCTAAGACCTGTACTTTAAAATTCTGAGGGGGCTTAGTCCCCTCTAGCCCCCCCCCCCCCCCCCCCCGATTTCCGCCTATGCGTACCGTGATTCAAGACCCGGTCGATCATTGTTAAATATTTATATTCGTTCATATAGTTACCGGTCCGTTGACATTTAAAGTCATAATTTTTTTTATATATCGTTAAACGATCGAGCTATCCCGAATATAAAACGCAACCAATGTCGGACGTTTAGCTCGCAACGACTACGGTCTACGGGTATCAATTCCATGGCCGGTAGTGTTTCCGGGTATTGCCGCGAAATCAAAGATTTCGAATCGGCTACGCCTTTGACGTCGGTAGTATTAGTAGTTGTGCTAATAGAATTGATTCTTGTGGTGAGAGCAGTTGCGCCCGTCATACGTTTTTGATATTATATAAAAGACGAAGAATTAGAACAAATTGCAGTATTCTCCGAACCGTCTTTATACGTCATATTATTATTATATTGTTCGTCTTCGGTAATATTTTCGACATTGTCTTGTTGGTGTGGACGGCCGTATTGTGCCAATTCTTCATACATATTGTTTTCCATGTCCATTATTTCTTTTAACATATACACGAGCCGCCACTGTGTTTAATGATTAAATAATGAAATATGATCTAGATTTATAGGTACATATTATGATAGTAATTTTGAGATTCTGAGCAAAGCGATTAATGTATTGTTTTTACTAGGATATATTTTATTTTTGTGTCTGAAGACAATTTTTGTAAGTAGAAAAAAATCCTCTGATCATCGACTTCGACGGAGGTTTCTTGAAGATAATTTGAACTATATCGTTAGTACTTTTGGGAGGTAAAAATTGAAAAAACTAAATGCTTAAAGCTTATAGGTAATCAGGGTAAAAAAAATGAACATCTGATGTTTAAATGTCGATGTACCTACTCACGTGTCACGTCGTAAAATAACGGTACCTACCTACCTATCACATCCAACGATTTTCTTATTTTGTTATTACTGAGTTTACGTGTTCCTCAGTACTTGTCTATAATATTTAGGAAATTACCTTGTATATTAATTGTTTAATATTATACTACCAAACTCGACAAGACGGCTCTATTATATAGTTATATACTTATATAGGTACCTGGTGGCTGGTATACCTACTGCCAATACACATAGTATTGCGGAGACGGACTGAAAACATGTTTCATATCAGTTTTATTATTTTGTACCATGTGGTATAGGGACCTCGGATATCGTTATTCGTCAAATCATCGAATAAGAACGATAGCAGTGTGATTTTATCTGCAGACATTCGTAACATTCATATCGTTACATCACCATTATACACCTATACCAAATAATGTCGTCTGTATTTTGTTTAGTTTAATTAAGAAAAATGGAGTTTACGACAAGCAAAAGAGGGAAACAAATGGTTGTATACAAGGCCACAAGGGTCAAAAGTATATATTGGCTATATAACATTGTGCAATGTGTATTATTGATATTAATATTGACTATGATTTGAAAAAAATTGTATAAACGATTATTATTTTCAAAAAAACGCGAGAAAAAGTAATTATTTTTTTATAATTTATAACAAATGTGTAAGTACTATTAAAACTATTATTACCAATAGACAATAGCGTATCATTTAAAAGCATTATTGACTATGATTCAAAATAAACGTGTATTATAACTATTATAATATATTAAATTAAAAATTAAAATTGATTTCTTATTAATTATTATTATGCTGTAAAATTCGTGTCTTTAAAATATATTATGAATTGAACCAAGTTGTCAATGTAAAATGTTAATACAGGTAAATTTGGAGCAAATAGGCTGTCCCAAAAAACACACCTTTTTTATTTTGGCTCAAATAGGCGATGCCCGAGTGTATGGATCGTGCCACACCAAGCCACTAGATAATTTTATTTGAATATTAGTTTAATACGTAAAACCATATCCATAATATATCTGTTTGATTTAAATTAGATATTTTTTTAATTCCGATATCCGATATACGTATATCAGATAAACAAAGTTAGTTCGTAATAGGTAGGTACGTTTAAACAAAATATAGTGAATATATTATGAACTTTTTGGTGATGGTTAGGAAAGCTGATATTCTGTGGATATTATTATATTAATAACAAATTAATAATAATATCTCATTGGTATATTTTATTCGATATGTTTCTGCTAATGGAAAATACGTGTTTATGATTATAATAACACGGCGACATGTGTATGCAATTTAGCTACACTTCTTAATCCCATAATAATAGTCTACTGCGGTGCAAAACCATTGAAATTACTCATGAAATATATTAGGCCTTCAAAAATATCATATTCTGCCATGGCTCGCAACCGAAATACTATATAGTTTGGTACGTTTCTCCAACATAATGAAACCACGATACGCTCTGCTAACGACCATCGTTCAGTACTTCGGTAGGTTGCTAAATGCCTAAATGCATATAGACTTCTAAGCCGATTTAGGTGGTCTAAGCTTATTATGTATAATTTTGAACGATCTTAGCAGAAAAAAAACACTGTGTGCTTAAGACCACACGACAGAAGTGAAAACTTCAACAAGGCGAGATAATCTCATAAGAAATCTTGTATTACATTTTAAAATCTTAGATTTAAAAAGAAAATTTTTTATGAATTTCTATCTCTAAATAATTTACTAAAAATGTTCGTCATTTTTACGTATTTTGTCAGTATTTGAACTTTAAATGCTTATAAAAGAAAACTGTGTCTAAGGATTTTTAATTTTTTTCATCTGCCTTTGAAACAATATAGTAGGAGCTGTCTATTAAATTTTCAAGCTTTTGTACCCAACAAATAAAATTTTATTGATATTTATAGAAAAAAAAAACTAAAATAATGGAAACTGAAAATGTCCGTAAAGAGCTCAAAATAAGTCAAAATATTTGGAAAATGTTATGGTGTATACAAAATGCTAATATAAACACATTCAGTCAAAATTTCATGTACCTACGTTCATTTGTTTAAGAGTTGCACCAAAAACCAAAATCGATTTTCTCTTCGAATTTTTGGTGGTACAACGGGGGACCCAAGTCAAAACGCGACAGAGATATACTTAAATCAAAAAAAAGGGGGTGTAATTTTTGATATTTTATGCACGTGGCTGCCCACAACCCATAGCAGTTTACCAAATACAGCTACGACGATCCCCGGCTGCGATTGGGCCTTAGGGACGATGGGAAAATATGTAGATTTTCCAAAAATAATAATAATAATAATCACTGAATAACCACGTATAAAAATAGTCGACTCGAGCCGACTTCACCCGAATGAGCGTTACATAGCCGAGCTCAATTCAGTACTCACAAAAAGTGCTAAACGCACGCCTAAAGAAGCTTTCACTTTAATATATAAATTATATCGATCGCACCATCTTGGGGAAGAAATACTAGAGGACCTCGAGAAGAAGTTTCGTACCACTCCGATCGGTTTTGTATATATTATATAAAATATCTATTCTTCGAGTAATTTTAATACTCGCAGCAGATAATTTTTTAATTTTACTGCAGTTAAAGTTTAACGAAATTAGGCCTACATCGCTACACGTAAAAATACAGAATTTCCATTTTTCCCAATTAGACGACTTCGTCAACTCTGTTGCTGTATTTATTTGTCCACTTTACTGTTTTATTTATTTTTATGTAGCGATATTAAGAGACTTTAAGAGAGATGTGAAAACAAGGCCATCGAGCTTGAACTGTTTTGGGGTCGGATTTAAAAACGTCGGTTGGTGCCTCTCACACCCTGTACACGGTTGTAATTACGAGGACTGTACATAGTATGTATACCTATGCTAAATGTGTTAAATGTATGAAAACAAGAAACAAATTATAAATTTTTATTTCGGGATGCTTTTAGTTTTAACTGCCCCTTAACCTTAGTCCTTAACCTAGGTCCTCGTGAAGAAATTGTGTACAATTCCGATCGGTTTTGTAGATATTATATAGGTAGATTATGTTACTCTACGAGTAATTTAAATATTCGTGGCCCATCTTTTTTTAAGGTGGACATTTTTGTTTATAAATGGTCGCCATTGGTTGCCGTGAAATCAGTGGATTCATTAAATGCATTTAATTTTTCTGTACCCTGTGTTTTGGTATTATATGTATAGCAATTACGTAAATATTGAGCGTATTATACTCACACATAAGTTACGTACATAAAACAATGTCACGTCTTCGTGGATGAGAAGGAAATATTG